TTTTTTTAAATGGCGGTTGGCAACCAGCTTTAGGTGCATTACCGCCACCTTCCAGACTGGAGTGTGGATCGTTTTGAAGCACTGCATTTGGGCGTGTATCAAAATGTTTAAGTCACGTGACCGATAAACACTGCTTCATAAAATATTTCATATTTTAGGGTTTTACCGCTATGGGCCGATGGAACATGCACAACTGCTGATCTTCAGTCAGTTGATCCGTTTTGTGTAGGAAAGAGACAAACGTATTTGACATTTAGAGAAATTTATTTAAATAATGGAGGCAGCAAAAAAAGAGAACAAGGTTGTTTGTGTGGGAGCCTTATGAGCTTTTGCAGCTCAGTTTTATCAAATGTAACCAACATCTGGCATTTCCTAACAACACATAATCAATATTAAGACATCTCCATTCTAAGCAACCAGAGGATTTGAATGATGGACCTACAGCAGAGCAAGCAAGAACTTCACATGTGCCTATGCAAGGCATGTATTGTTTTTTCGTTGATCTCTTTCATTTATTTAGACATAATTAATATATTGTTGCTGTTAATTTGGCCCTAACTTCTATTGGCATTTTTTCCACAAGGTGTATAATATTAATATGAAAACAAAATCGCATTACTCACAGGTAATCTGCATGTAATACACACTCTCTCTCTCTCTGTCTCTCTCTTCAACTGAGTGTGAATGTCCATACTTTCTTCATGGCTGCAAGTGGACTCATAGGTTAAAGATTTTTAAGTTAAACTTTTAGTGCAGCTTGATTGTTTGTAGCATTCCGCTTCTGATATTTTGGCATTGTGCAAATTAATCCTTGTGTGTGTTTTCCAGGTAATAAGCAGAGCTGTGCAGAAGTGCAGTCAGTTTCTAGCTGACAGTCACTTCTTGGCAGAACATCTGAAATGTTTTCTCAGGTCGGGGGACAAAAGGGGGCAGTATTTTCAATGGATAACATTTTCCGTCGAACCACTTCCTCATTCAAGGAAACAGAGACGGAAGCCTGCCAAACCAAAGAAGAAGAAGGAACAGCGGCGGACGTTAATAGAAGCCACAGACTTGTGTTTTGCTCTCCTTGACGAACTTATCAGGTAACTCTTTGCAGCGTTAATGTAATGTTAACAGACATGTTACAGTTCAGTGACACAAGTTAACGGCATTTATCCGTGTATTTTGCAGCAGAATGGCGGATGAGGAGGACGAGACTGGCTTTGACGACGAACTGGACGACGGCTCCAGCGGAGTAGATGTCGGCCACGGCAGGAGAAAGAGGCTCTTCTCTAAGGAGCTCAGGTGTATGATGTACGGATTCGGAGACGACCAGAACCCGTATACGGAGTCCGTTGATATTCTGGAGGACTTAGTGATTGAGTTTGTCACGGAAATGACTCACAAAGCCATGTCTATCGGACGGCAGGGCCGCGTCCAGGTGGAGGACATCGTTTTCCTAATTCGCAAGGACCCCAGGAAGTTCGCCAGGGTCAAAGACCTCCTGACCATGAATGAAGAGCTGAAAAGAGCCCGGAAAGCTTTCGATGAAGCAAATTATGGCTCATAAACTCATCTTGGGACATTTTTTTTAAACCTACATCTAACGTGGTGGTTCATTTATTGATTTCATCTACCTGGTGTCTTTCTGTCTGGCACTGTTTAGATAAATAAATTACATATTGTTTAAATATACCCAGTCATTCAGGTTAATTTGAGAAAACCAAGAAGACATTCTTTACACTTGGACAGTGACATTTATCACGTTTAACACATGTTTGAGCAATAACCGGCACACTTTAAGTTGCATCATAGTTTTTAGAAGAAGAAAGTCCATCCACAGCGTCTAGTTACCTCAGTTTTTATAATGATTACTACAGTTGCAGTGATTAGTTGAACATTATTATTTTCCAGTTATTTCATTAAAAAAGACAAGAAAATGATTCTAGCCTCATCATTGTGAAAATTTCCTCTTTCTGTTTGTAAATTGAATATTTTCGGCTGTTGACTTTTGACATCCACCCCTGAGTCTGAAACAGTTTTTTTTCTTTATATTTGTTTCAGTAGTTTCTTACATTTAATGAAATACTATACTTAATTATTTTTATCTGACCCTACTCATAACTTTCAGATACCTTAGAACTCTTTAGATGGACGCTGCTATCTGTGGTTCAAGCAGACTGGACAAAAAGAAGAAACAAACAGATTTTATTCATATTCCTCAAAACAAAACTTTTTACACAGACCGTAAATAAATATGGCAGACCAACTACAAGTGAGCAGGTGTTAGTTCATTTATTCTGTTCAAGCAAGTAACTTCTTTGTACAGTGAAGTGGTTGAATTGATTGGTCTAAGCAGCAGGTAACAGGCTGCCAATCTATCTAGACTACATCTAGATCAGAGCTTTACCAGCAGAGGAAGGGGTCGCTGATGACATGTTACACCGCTCATGCTGCAAAAGGTGTGTGCAGTGAATTTCCCCCATTGCAGCCCTGCCATCCCGTCACACGGTACAGTGTCAGTGCAGCATCCATGAGCAATCTGCATGCACAAATGAGCTCAGCGAGCGACCCCCACCGGGTGCTCTAGCTGTCTGCTGAGGATGTCTTTAAGGATGGAGAAGAGAGGCAGTGAACCAGGTGGACAGGAGGAGGGGGTAGTTTGAGTGGGTCAGTGGGGCGGTCAGATGTTTCAGGGGGGGTTTCAGGGGAGGAGGAATGTCCATGAGTCTTTCTGGTTTTACTGCACATTCTCCATCATCTTGAGGAATTCTGGAGAAAAAAAAAGTGTTATTTAAAAGGGACATGCCGTTATTGCATTAGCTAACATGAACTGCACCTTCAAGCAGTGGTTTTCACCTTCATATAGTGTAGTTCAACTAAAACATGCCCCTTTCTTTCAAATTTGTGCCATCTGATGATTTCTAAAGACTAGAAATACCAAGTAATTGAAAAAATGTCAATCACAATCTATTCCCAATGCTAAGGTTAATAAAACCTCATGAGACTAGTGCCTGATTAGCTATAGCACAACAGAAATATGTGATTAGTTACGGACACTCCTTTATTTGTCCTTTATTAATAACTGCAAAGTAAAGGCTTGACATTGAGCCAACACATTCATCATCATCATCATCATGCACGTACCATCATAGTCCAGCATGCCATCGGAATTCTTGTCTCCATCCTTCAGCAGCTCATCAATCTCATCATCTGTGACGTGTTCACCGCTGCTGCGGATGATAAGGGAAAACTCTTCTCTGTCGATGTAGCCATCGCCGTTCCTGTGCGAAAGACAGCAATGTTTGAGACTGTAAATATAAACAGTTACAGAAGAGAATTAAATACTGCCTCCAGCTATGCTGTAACCCCGTAGACCGTACTTGTCAAACACACGGAAGCACTCTGCCAACTCTTCCTCGCTCTTGCCGGCCTGGTCCTCCTTCAGCAGCCTCACCATCATGACCAAGAACTCCTCGAAGTCGATGGTACCGCTACCTGGGGATTCAGAATAAGCCACATAATGAGTTAACAGTGGTCAGCCCAGTGTCCTGCCCCAATGTGGGACACCACAACACGCTCGTCTTTGTGCATGAAGTTCTGTATTGTTTGTGCCTAAAACATTATTTGTGCACAATAAGTGTACTGTAAGTGATAAGAGATACACTGTTATCCGCTGCTCACCATCCTCATCGACCTCCTCAATGATTTCATCCAACTCCTGTCTTGTGGGGTTTTGGCCTAGCATCCTCATCACGGTACCCAACTCCTTGGTGCTGATATCACCACCACCGTCAGTGTCAAACATGTCAAAGGCAGCCTTGAATTCTGAAGAAATCAGAGTTTAAAGAATGTGGCTCATTACTCAAAAATCAACCTGTGTTACGTATTTGGCTGTTCCTAGACTTATTAATCATTGCAGTAGGGCATTTACAGAAGCCTTTTCTCTGTAGACTGGAAAACATTGAAGTTTACCAGTGTAAATAATTAAAGCAACACAGATCATCCATTTGCTTATTAAAGTAGTAAATTCCATCAGAGAACTTCAGATTGCCTTTTCAAGTGGAGCTCTTTTTCAGAAAGATACTAGGAGGTGGAAATGGATGGGTCATTTCACTTCAATATTTAAGGGTGTGATACTTGAAAACAACTAGGTCACTTATCATTTGATTTGGATTCTGTTACTTTACCAGCAGCCTGTACTTACCGGCCAACATTTCCTCGCTCAGGTAGGAGCGGGCCTCTTGTTGCGCATCAGTCTGGAAGAAAACAGAGGCCACTCTGTCACCGGTAGCTTCAATTAGGCTTAATTGTTTATTCCAGTTAAAACCTAATACACTGAGCCTGGCCTTAAGGTGAAATTGTCATACAAAGGCAACAGTAGCCATTTTCACGATAGGTTGATTCTTCTAAAAATAATATTAGAAAACACTGTACATGTTTTAAATGTAACCCACATCCTTAAGTGAGCTAAAATGATTTAGCAGGAGAGTAAATGTACCATTGAGCACAGAGAAGACACTGAATTTCAGAAAAACACATATTGTTGTGTTTTTCATTACTATGTTTAGTTTGTGAAAACAAAATGGTTTCATAAGTCATGTGTTGCAGGATATAGTGGCCAAGCTGAAGACGATTCTTGAGCTGGGTGAAAATTAACTCCACTATTTCAGGCTCAACACATTAGGCCCCTTGCATATGGCCTGCAGACATCCAATCCTGGGGAATTTGTTGCCTAAGCGGAATCCACATCTTAGCAGCTGACACCCTTCTCACAGCACACAGTCATAACTTTCTACAAGGATTTAAGAGCATTTGCAAAAGATAACTAAAAAAGATAAATCTGTGTAGTTTATTCCATTACTTACAACAAAAATCTATTTAAAATGTCAAATTTAGATATACAGTAATAAAAGTTGATGATTAAAAAGGAATCCAACACATCCAACCCTCTCCAATTGAACAGAACATGCATCTCAACAATTCCACAGATTTTTACATTTTCACACACCTTTATTATTAAATCTCCCGCAGGCTGTCATTAATACAGATGAACAACTACCGATTGACTGATCAACTTGGAATAGTCCAACAGCTCATTTACACAACTGACAGGTCTTACCATGTTTGTGGATTAGCTTTTCCCCCCAAATATCCAAGGAATACAGAAAAGCTCAAAGGAGTGGTCAATCCGTGTGCACCCCAACAGCGAGACTAGACCTCAAGTGAAGGTTCAGACACACTTTAAACGGAACAGCCAGGTCCCGCCCCCTGCCTGTCACAGGCCTCCAGATTTAGTATCCTGAACTTTTAGGGTTCTGGGGCCAGGGCAAGCCAATCTCACTTTGGAGGGGAAAGCTCTTGTTTCTTGAAGTTGCAGGTTTAAGGGTGCAATAGTGGTAAAGCAGGATCTAGATGGAATAAAGAAAAGTTACAGGAAAGGGTGGAGATACAAAATGAATAATGCAAAGTTTTGGGGACAATGTAAAGGATATTTCACCCGAGTTGTTAAAACAGATTATCTGAGGACAAATACACTTAAAAATCAAATTAATTAATTAGGTTACTCCCTAGAAATTCTCCCATAGCACCTTAAAGTGATTATCTAAAATAACCTTAATACAATTTAAAAAGAATGAACACTAAAACTAAAGATCATGCAGCCCATCAGTGCACACTGTTGATTTCCTTGTAGGCCTTGTAAATACGTATGAGGATGAGGAGGAGAAGCCAGAGAAGCCAAAGTAGTTTTGGGTTTTGTGATGATGGAGTTTCAATCTGGATGTGCAACTCAAAACCAAGACAAAAATGTTGCTGGACCCAAGTCTCACTTGACTCTCAACCCTCCACCCCTCCTTCAGCCGTGCCCTAAATAGCAGGCAGTTTTTAGGCTGACACAGGGATGCAAGGCAGACACCCACACATCCTAGCACCGCACCACCTGATAAACATAACCTGATGCTCCTTATATGGTGGGCGGTTCCTGAAGGGAGGGCCTGAGGTGAGAGGAGAAGAGGATAGGGTGCTGAGGAGAGGATCTACATGAAGAAAGGGGAGTGATGATGGCTTTGAAAGGTGGAGGGAGGGGCTTACAGGGTATATACACAGTAGAAGTTCTGCATTTTCCAAAGGGAGAATTAACTCATCAACTCTGTGACTGTCTTCTTTAAGTCTCAAATGCCACCTGGTTGCTTGCTTTTGCCTCACTGATTTCTGTACTGGTGGACTGCTGTGTGACAACGAAGGACAGACAGTTGAGACAGATTTAGGCAGAGCACAAATTAGAGGAGATCAATTTGAACCAGATAACTGAAAATTTCCTGAGAAACCGGGATAAGGCAGTTTCTATGCAACTTTAAAATGGTGCATGGTGGCTACTTTGAAGTGGAGATTACATAGAGAGATGAGACCAGCTGTAGTTGAACAAATGTGTGTGTGTGTGTGTGTGTGTGTGTGTGTGTAAAGGGAGGATGGTATAGGAAGTGCATCTGCTTGTGTGCCATGTGTATGATCACTTTAAATGCGGTTGTCGATGTGTGAGAACTGTAAGTGCAGATAGATCTACAGTCCCTCTTATCTACAAGTCCCTGAAACACCACTAAAAGATTAACAACCAAATCAAACAGACAAAATTCAGTATCAGGTGTGTCAGGCACAATAATGTACAAAGATGAACAATAAGTAGAAGGAGAAAGTTGATTTATTTAGAAACCACAGAACAGGGTAGAGGAGAGATTAAGCTTTGAGGAGGGTGGGGGTTAAAGCTCGATGGTGTAGCATTTCTGGGGACACAGCAGCTGCCAAGGGGACAGCTGGGTGGCCAGCACAAGGAGGCAGCCAGGGAACAGCGCCTTCGTCTTAAAAGGTTTGAATGGATATTTATAGGTTTCTTCAACAAGCTCCTGGGTTTCATGTGAGAAGAGGAAGGAGGGTGGGGGTGAAGGTCTCCATTTTGATGCCTCAGAAACTACATCATATTCATAACTGTAAGTTTGATAGCATCTAGAATTTGCTCTGGGCACATTTCCATCAGATAGCATGTTTAAATTCTCTCTGAGGAAGGGTCACAAAGGAATGTAGAGCCAACTTCATTACTGGACATTCTCCATCATCTTCAGAAACTCTGGAGAGAGAAAGAGAGGACCACAGTCATCTGTGTAACAGGCTGGTTGACGAATGATGGAGCAGATCAACAAAAGTCAGTTAACCTCAGCCCTGAGTCTACAACACAAAGCTTTACATGTAATCAGAACATATAATCATAATAATTTGCTCTATTAATGCTCGTACTGTCATATCTACACTATTTACACAGCAACCCAATCAGTGTGCACACGTTTGTGACAGTATACTGCACATTTCAGTCTTTTTAAGTCCATATTCTGTGAAGAAACTGGGTTTGTGGTCAATAAAAGGGTAAAAATAATCATTCTACCTTACCAGAAGCACATAGGTATAGTTCAGCTTTTTGGGAAATCTACTTATTTACTTTTTAAAAGTCAGATGAAAACATGATTGCTATAGTACTGTATGTCAACATCTGATTGGCGTGGCTTAGCAAACAACTGGGCACAGGGAAACAGCTGGCCTGCCTCTGCCCAACGTTCACACTGCCAACACCTCTGAAACTCGCCAATTAACACCATGTTTAATCTCTACAAAAGCCAAAGCATAAAAAATTACAGGCTGTCATATGCTGAACAATTTTGTGGAGCCACAGTGTAATTTTCACACTTTGGTTTGTTTATGGAAATTGCCTGGCTAGGGGTTTTTCTCTGTTTACAGCCTTCATGCTAGGCCAAGCTAACAGGCTGCTGGTTTTTTTTATTACATGATCAATTTAGACATGTTTATTGTACCTTTCTGCTCAATATACTGCTGATGTCTCCTTCATATGTATATAAATATATAAATCTTCCCTAAAATCTTTGCTAAATCACTGAAAAGTTGTCAGTGACTGTGGCAGCCCAGTCTGTTTTTTAGAAGACAGTGTTTAGCCCACAGAAGTGAAGGAACTCTTTTTGGTCTGAGTCAATCTTAATCTTACCATCAAAATCAATCTTCCCATCTTTGTTTGAGTCTGACTCCCCAAACATCTCATCAATATCTTCCTCTGTGACTGTTTCTCCAGTGAGATGAAGGATTTCCCCGAACTCTGCCCGGTCGAGGAAACCATCTCCATTCCTGTTGAGAAAAATCAACATTAAATGGAATGTGTGAAAACTCACCTCCTGTCTCCCAGCTTTTTTACATCACTCACATACAGACACACACAATCACTCATTAGGGTCTTTCATTAAATAGCCTGCTTTATTTTTTTTTAAGTTCAAGGCAATTTTCATCAGCACTTCTATATTCTAGCAGCCAAAACTGAGACATGTGCTTAAAATA